ACAATTCAGGGAATATATTTATATTTTTCTATGAAAAGTTATGAATGTGACTTAATCATGACTGTTATTTTTATTTGCACTTGCTGGTCTTTGTAGCAGCATTCAGCACAGGTGCCAAAATATGCTTCATTTTGGGGGCACATCTACTTTGACAGTATTCGACTACATATAGAGTTTGAAATATGTTGAACACTAGAGATCCTGGTTATCAAAACCAATGAGCATTGCTTTCATGGTAGCAAGCGTCAAGCAGTTATTTTCGTAATTTGTCAAGCGGTGGTAGTTTCTAACCCCTGTCCTATAGTAGCATAACAATTTCATGCAACTTATGTTTACAGATTCTTCATAAATGTTATGTGCAGACTGACATTACAATCATGGAAAGTGTGACCATGATTAGTAGGCAAGGTACCTACCACTTTTTGTTTTCTTCCCCTAGCTACTTGAGTAGAATGCATTAATTATACCAGATTTGGTTATTTTCGTTGAGATGGTTTCCAGTTTCTTCCAGATGCTGTTGGGTCTCTCTTTCTTTTTAAAGGAAAACATGATCACTTTTATTTTATAAACTTGAACTTATAAAGTGCTGGTAAATTATTTTTAACGTTTTGAGTGCATATTTTAAACCTCTAAGGCCAGAGCATAGTCATAGCATTTTCCTTTAAATCGTGCACTAACAAAATGCTATCTAATTTGTCTTCTGTCCAAGATCTCCTGGTTTCCACTGTAAGGGATTTAACCAAAATCTTGCTCTTCCATAATCTTACTCTGTGAAATAGAGGAGTTTCGTGTGCCTTAGATTTAGGGAAAGTGTGTTCTTTAATAGAGTGTGCAGAACTTAAAAGAGTATTTAAGTTATATGTAGACTTTCCCCCATTTGTATTGAAATTGTAGAGTTGAGTTTTGTTAAGTGTGCAATTGCAAATTTTATTTATATAGGAAAAGAGTTAAACGTCATTCTCTCTTTGATTTGGCTTTCTGCTGTCATGTGCAATCCTAAGCGTCCTTTGCTGGGTGACTAAGTATATCTTTATTAGTGGCCTCTTTTGTGGGAAAATAATTTTGGAATTCATTTAAAGTTGAAACTTTTACCACATCATCAAATACCATAGTACACTTACTTTTGAGCCAAATACTTTTACTTGATAGGTTAAGCTACTCCAAACAGTGTAGATGGCCATTCCTAACTTGCTTGTGTCTGAAGGTGGACTTGATTCAAATAGTTTACATATTTTGATAGCTAAGTGGTATGTTACAGTACCCCATCTTTAAGTTATTTATTGGCCTTAATTATGTTTGGTTTTAGACAAAACCCTTTTCTTGTGTGTATCCTTGAGATGGCAGATAAGGAGAAGCATCAGACTCTTGTATCAGTATTAGAGAATCCTGAGTGTTCCTACTTTCTACTTATTTATTCCATTTGACATGGTGGTAGGACGTACTTTTTCTTTCTACTCTGATGTAAGGAGGAGGACATTTTTGGACATTACCAACTGAGATAGATGGGGGTACGTACCTCTTATTAGGTGATTTAGAGAGCTATCATCACTTCAAAATGACAATACTTTTCTTCTCAAAACTTGTGTTAAGTGTAGAGTAGACAGATTACTTCAGGATAATTGTCCTT